ATCAATCAGTAAAAACAAAAAAACACAAGGTTAAAAAACATTGTTTGTGTGTGTGTGTGTGTGTGTTTTTAAAATACATCTTGACTGAACTATTATTTTAGGTTATAGTGCCTGCTTAGGATCTTATTGTCTAATTTGACGTTTGTTTTCTTTTAAAATACTTTGCAGCTTTGTTTTTTTTAAATGTGCTAGATGAAAAAAAAGTTATCATTATCCTTATTAGACAAAATATGATGAACAGAAATTGTATGAGATTCAGGCAATTATGATACATCGATGGGCCTCTGACACACAATGGACAGAGCAAAGAATTTTCTTAAAGTAAATGTATTCTGTGACATTTCTGTTGCTCTCAAGACCAGCTCTGTTTGTTTGTAATTCCCGTGTAGTGTAATAAACTGACAAGTGGACTGCAGATCACTGCCTCTGCTCATTTTCCTCTTCTCAAGTGTATTAGAAACATTTTGAATTATTCAGTGAATGTGGTGGTCATAAAAATTCTGCATCACAGTTGATATTCTGGAGGATGATAAACAAAAACCGGCTTAATATTCATAAACAACCGCCTGTACGTGAGCTGCTGGTGAGATAATTTGTAAGTAAAAACAGACTCTTTGACTTGTGTTTTAAGTATTAAAGTTTGTATTTTTGTTTGAGAGTGTGACAAAATAATACTATAGCAATCCCATTTAACAATATGTTATAAATTAGACTAAAGTAACAATATATGCACATGAAAGAGGTAAATAATGAAGTAACCCAAAGCCAGGAACAGTACTAGTTTAGAATATGATTAGAATACTGCAGTACACACTGTGTGTTGCTGACAAAAGATAAACCAAAGCAGTACGTGCTATGAGATCCCAAACTAGGGAGGGATTATTAAAATGTGCTGCAGCTACAGCATGTTTTAGGTCAGGACTGCCTCTCCTTACTGAGTAAGTGTAAACCAATAACAGGCTCACGAGAGAAGTAAAGAAGCTGGATCTCATCAGGAAAGTGCTCGAGTCACCATGGAAATCATTTTAGGGAATGACAATCTGCATTTGCAGTGAGGTATTGATCATTTTATGGTTGGTCATTAGGGGTGAAAAAGAATCACCACTCTCAAGACAAGGGGTTGAAGTAAAATGACTGTCAGTATTTATATTCTTCTTATCACACTACCTATGGAGGGGCTGGTTCTCTCTGTTCTAGATGATTTGCAGTACCTTGCATAGGACTGTATCACTCTTTTTTCCCTCTTATCCATCATAGGAGTGAAGCTCTCTGTGGCGTGAGTGTAACTTCCTGCATCAGCAGCGTCTCCCTCTAAGAACTCCCATTCTCACAGACTATTAGCCGCCTGGAGAAGCAGAAAAACAATCCTCAGGATTTTTCCATCAATCATTTAAAAATGTTAGCCCCTTGAAACCTGGTGTCTGTAATGTGAATTATATATCATCCAATTCAGGTAAAAATCTATTTTTCCATCCTTGGTAATAACATCTAATACTGTGAATAGATTAAATATCCACAGACAGTCTATTATTTTGTAACTGCTGTGCAAAATTCCAGCTTCACTCTGGGTCATTTTCTGCACATTAAACACAATGAAAAGTGAACATTTTCCTCTTTTTTAATTTTGCTACATGCATTATGTTGCAACTGTTTTACATGTTTAGATTCACATCCAGCTTGTTCCTAAATGCAATCTGCAGCAGCTATTCCAAACATATAACTGAAGCATACAGAATTGTTTTCAGCGAGAAGCAGAAGAAGGAGAGCTGCAACAGATGGTAAACCTCCACGCAGCACTGATCTCAGGAGCCTCTGAGATCACAGAAGCCTTGTGGCGAATTTTCCAAGATATCTGGAACAAGCTACCTGCCAAGTAGCTTGAAAAGCTGATGACAACTGGTGCTGTTTTAAAGGCAAGTCAGTTTATTGTATTCTTTTCTTATGATCAGCAGTGACACTATGCATCTGTCATGTCAGTGTCATAGACTGTTTTTCAGTTTTAGTGTATGAATGTGTTAAAATAATACATTAAAAAACACACTTTTTAACTATATTTTCCCATTGCATTAATCCAACCTGAATGAGCCATAAGCCTTAGATGTATTGACCGCTGCCCTGTTTTTAATCTGTCATTTTCAGGAGACAGAGGAGGAGATCACGACCTGCGGGGAGGATGAACGGCCTCTCAGGGTGATAGATCGGTGATGTGGGATCTCTGACATGTTTAAACAGAAGCCCGGCAGCCACACGCGTGTACCTTTGAGGGTGAGGGTTATTCCTACAAAAGGAAATTGGATCTTGATAACAGATTGGTGTCAGCGTGGGTTAACCTGAGGGCTGACTTGGGCTTTATTGAACAGCAGCGACATAAGAAGATGGGCAGAGTAGACCAGCACACATAAAAAAAACATGGTTCATAAGTGAATTTTATTTCATATTTCAGACAAACAGTGCAATTATTTTGTCATCTGGATTTGACAGATTCAGAGTTTTTGTTCAGTGAGGCTTTTATGTATTTGTGGTGACTGATTGTGACACATCAAGCCGACTCATCAGTGACTCACATGTATGTTTGAGTGAAAAGACTCAATGTGCAAACAATAAGGCATACATTAGGATTAAAAAAAGGCCCTTTTGGTGAGAATTCACTGGGATCTGTGGCCCAACTGGAACAAAAAACACTCAAGGAAAAGAGTTGGATTTCTACTCAGCCTATAGATTACTTCAACAAATGTGTTTTATCAAATATAACTCCACCTTTAACCATCAACCTTCAACCTTCCTGTTAAAGACACACAAGGTGCTGACCAGTCAAAGCTCCCATGAATATTTCAGAGGCTGGCTGATGTCAACAGCGCCTATAAAGACAGCTTGTTTTTGGACAGGAGACCCCCAAAGCCGCCACACGTCCAGGAAGCTTTTTTTCCCCCCCAGAAGAAGAGAAGGACTCGTCCTGTTCAGGCACCATGGTCAGCGCACGGACTCTCCTCCTCGCCGTCACCTGCTGCTGCGCGTCCCTGTGGCTCGTTCGCGCAGAGGACTCCTCACTGGAGACGCGCTCGTTGGATTTCCCCCTAAAAAATCAGCAAGAGAAAGACCTGGTGAGAGGTTTTATGTAGCTGTATGGTTGGAAAAGTTATCCTTGTTCTAAGCCACAATCAGTGGAGATTTTACAGTAATACTGTTGCCAGAACTTTAAGTAGCTACATGGATAGTTTGTCTCCAAAACAGACTCGTTTTGTCTATTTTTACCTGCTTAACTTCTCGCATTTGTTTTTCTGTGCAGATTGACGCGCTGCAAGAAGTTCTGGAGAAGCTGAGGAGCAAAGAGATGCCCTTAGAGAAAAAGCTGGGCTGGCTGCCTTCGGTAAGTAAACCAAATAAGAAATACTGTGTTTCTGACAACACTTCAGGACGAATTTATCAACACACAAAAAAGTGACATAAACGACAAGTATCTGTAAAATAATGTAAACATTTTTTTTGTAGAATATTAAAACTGTAATTTTACAGGCATATATTGTAAAATTACAGATTTCTGATGTGGATGTTATGTACAGTTTTTGTGTCTGTGATTTATTTATTTTTCATTTTTTACAGTCAACATGCAAATATATGATTAAAAAACTGTTTTACTAATTTTACTAAATATTACTATATCTGTAATTTAACTGGAAAACACATTTTATTTCAAATAAAGGCAAACATCTGTAAAACAATATTTTTTTTCTGATTTTAATGCAGTAAAAATAGTGTAATTTACAGTCACACATTTTAAAGGAAGGAATTACCGTTTATAAAAATATGAAGTTTTGATGTGAACATTATTTACAGCTTCTGAATGTTTATACAGTTAAATTAAGGTAAATCAATACTTCTTTGTGATTTTACTAATTATTATCTGTAATTTCACTAAACATGGAAAATCTGTAAAATAGGAGCAAATTGTTATAAGAAAAGTAAAATTCAGTTAAATGGTAAAATTTCATTTTTTTGCAATGAAGAAATGAAGTGTCTCTAATTTTGCTAATATACATAACATACAGACACTTTTTAGTGATGTTCTCTGTGGTTCAAAACCCTGTAATTACCTTTTAGGATTTTATTTGTATTTAGTCTTTTGGTAAGTTTTGTCTGTATGACTTTGCAGTGTAATGATAATTTAATGTTATCTTTTCAGTGTGACGCAGGGGAACCGTGCGCCGTGCGTAAAGGTGCGCGTATCGGCACCCTGTGCAGCTGTCCTCGAGGGACTTCCTGTAACTTCTATGTTCTCAAATGTTTGTAAAGGAGAGAAAAAAAAAAGGCAATAGAAGTGGAAGAAATGACACCGGAGTTTGAAGTGGTAAAAAATGATGAATGTGAAACATGACAGGGAGGCCTGCTACTGTTGTTGTCTCTGTAGAAAAAAAAACTAAAATACGATGTAAAATGTGACATTTTTCTTTTAACCTCGACTGTTCTGAATGTTCTCTGTTCATGTCACGGGAGGAGTGATATGGGTGGGATTGTGGCTACTTGTACTTTCTGAATGTAGTTTTGATCTTAAATGCTGTTTTTTTTTTCAGTTTGTTGTTGTTGTTTCTGTTTATGGAAAAGATTTATTTGTAAGATGAAAAGGTCAATAAATGAGTCTAACTTTTAAACCCTGTTCTGTGTCCACAACTGTTACAAAGGTTGGTTTAATAATTTATTAGACATGCATCACCAACGAGCAGCTGGATTTCATTTTTTCATAAACATCACTTGTTGGTAATTCGCTTTGATTAAATTTCTCCTCCAGACTTAAGGGAGGACGATTAATAAAAATATTTATCGATCCCTTCGCCACGTGTCATCAATAATTCAGCCTCATCTTATACATCCTCTGATGCACGACTGCATTCCAGCGCAGCAGCTGTCATCTCCCTGTAATATCAGAGGCGCTGTCAGCCTTTTTTTTTTTTTTTTCTTTTTTTCTTTTTGTCAATGACATCACATCCAAGCGCAAGTTTTCCAACATGGCGTCCAGCCGGGTGCTGGAGAGGGAGGTCCAGGAGGAGCCGAGGCGCGCTGCGACCGCAAACCTCGACTTCTGCCTCCACAAATACTCCCTGCTCATCATTATCGGACGGACGGCTCGCCTCAGACAGACGGACCACATCAGCAGGGACATTGAACGAGGTAGGGTTTCTTTATTTTATTATCTCCACCCAGTTCTTCCAGCTATGCCATTTTTCCAATTTATAAAAACAAAAAAATCAGATGTCTGCAAGTTCTCGTCGCTGAAATAATCAGAGGGGGGCTGGTACACTGACCACATTGCAGTGTTTATGTAATTTTCTCACATCCACCCTACTGACCGAGGATGCGTCATCTGGCGATGCTCCACCACCATCAGCACCACCTCGTCCCTCCGGGCACATTGTAATTAAAAGCAGTCTGGAGCTGCCGGTTTGTCTTTGTGCCTCGGTTTGTCGTTACGTAAGCTTTTGTGGGAATGTTGCAGGAGGTGTTCAGTCAACACACAGACACTTGTGAGCGATGGTCCATTAACCTTTGTGCGTTTCTGTGCAGCAGTCACTGTGCGTACAGAGACACTGTAGGTAGTAGACAGTGCATGGCCACAATGATCCGTCACACTCTGTGTTGTACTGCTGTGCTGGCTGTAGATGTAAATAAGGAAGGTGCATTGAAGTGCATGTAATTCATGCAAAGCAGGTCAGATAGGGAAATTAAAGCAGGGGTGCAAAGATAGATAGCAGAAAAACAAATGAAGACAGAAAGGTGTTTAGCAGTACAGCTAACTGGGCCAATTAACATTTCATTACTGTCTGCTGAAAGCCTCCAAAATGTCATCAAGTTTTCATGAGCAGAGAAAAACACGCCTGTTTTCAGCTTTTTGGCAGTGCATTTTTTATGAAAGCTCATATGTGTTTGCAATTAAACATTTATTTTCATGATCAGTTTGTTATTTTTTTTGATAGTTTTGTCTACAAAATGTCAGACAAATGCATCTTCAACTCCCCTTCATCGTCCAAACCCAAAAAATGTTCAGTTTGTTTTAGTGTGTGTGAAGGAAAAACATCAAATCATCTCATCTGAGCAGGTAAAACAGCAACTATTTGCCAAATTGATCATTAATGGACTCATTTAATCGTCTTGTAGATTTAATCCCATGATTCATTTACCTTAAAAAGTGCATAAAGTGTCCTTTCAACCCATGAAAGAGCGCCTGATCCTTTGGTTATATCTGAGTTCGATTTGCTTTTTTAGTTTGCATGCATTATATCATGTGTTTGGTGCAAAATTACCCAACGTACATACACACCAAGAACATACTGAGCCCATATTTACACAAAAAAGGTTGATAAACTATTTTTTTCATCACAATAGAAGAACCTCTTTAAGTGGAGGGCTTTTTAGAATTTTGAAATGGTCATAGTATGTTTATAAGGTTAACTTTTAGGCAGCAAATAGTGTGTAAAGCAGCTAAAACTACAGGCAACAGACTGCTTACAGATGTATTAGGGTGTGTTATAATAGAAGCCACAGTGTTTGTACCACATGATCTGTATGTGCAAAAAATGAAGAAGAAAAAAAGAGTTAAGCACATGTATTCTGTTGTTTAAGATGCACTCTATTGATTCTTCACTGGATAAATTTACATGTTACAGCAGCTGGATATAGATTAGGAACAAAAGAAGCAGGACATGAATGACAATAGTACAGTAAAGCTCAGAATAAACAATAAAGGTCTCATAAACACAATATGCAATTTACGTATGGACATGTACAGCTTAATGAGTGTTACAGAATACAGGAAGCTTTTATTGCCAAGTGAGCTCGAACACACAAGGAGTCTGACATGGTGAATGAAACTGTGGTGCTCAACAACAAGAAGAAGACGGGCAATAAATATAGAAATCTAAATCTACAAAATTCTAAATAAAATATTATATGTAAAGTATAAAAGTACTATGTAAATAAAAGGTGCTGTGTAAGGGAGTGTTACCAACAGTGATGACATTTGTGCGTTACAACCTTTACATATTTTTTTAGTTTGGGATGTGGGTTGTTTACGACGTTGCACTTTATTTGACATCATGCACCTTCATGCCGTCAGGTATTCGGTCATGGGACGTGGACTTAAAATCCTGTAACCTGAACCTGTACCTACAAGAGTTCCTCTCCCACCACACGGCGTCCTTTAAAGGTGCGGGTAAGAAATTCTTGCGTTAATTTATCCTCTCAACACTCACTGGTCCGAATATGAGCCGTGCAAAAACTGTATTTCTAATGGTGTTGGCCCCCAACAATGCGTCGTTTCACAGAACAAAGCGTGATGATTCAGCTTCTTACTTAGTTCCTTTGACGCTGGTTTCTTACCTTCTCTGTCATACTTGTTGAATGGCTGTGTGCCGCAGACTACTTTCACTGTTTTCACCGAGCTTTCAGTCTTTTTTTTTAGTAAAAATGGGGGTGAATGTTAAGAGGATACATGATCCTTCTTGCCCCAAACTCTTTGACCCCTCAGAAAGCCCCCATCTCCATGGTAACACTCCACCTCAGCCCAGAGGAAGGAAGGAAGGAAAGTGGAGGAGCAGTTAGAGTAACAAGGGTGGGACCTCAGGACAGAAAACAATAGAAACCTGCAGCCGAGTGGTGCCACCTCTCTTTCTGTCTCTAGATCCTTTTAGTATGCAGAAGGCAACTGAACAAAATGGTAGAAAAACAGGCAGACAAACATCAGTGTCAGTCAGTCGTGTTACAGCCGAGCTGTGGGGTGATGAACACAGTCAGGGAGCAGACATTTCTCTTTCAAACGAGGACAAAGTGGCACACAGAAAGGTTGCCTGTTCTGGTAAATACTGCAGTGAAAGCTGTTCTTAATAAGAGCTTACGTGTTATTTTGGCTGTCAAGGTTTTCCAAAATGGAGGGATTTGACATTTTCTGTGAGATGGAGAGTGCAGTGATGGGGATGCATTTTGGGAAATGCATTTTTTCACATTGCTGCCAAAAGTTAGATGAAAAGATCGATATCGCCGTCATGCCTTCACAGTGAATATGCAGCTGAAACCAGCAGCTGGTTAACCGAGCTCGACACAAAGCCCCAAAGCAGAGAGAATAGTTGTCTTGGGTGTGACAAAATACACCCAACGTTATCTGTCAAGCTCACTATTTGCATTCTTTTTATTCAAATTGTTCAAACGGCACATTGAGTTTTCACTCCAGGAAGTCACTGCTCCCGGCCTAGAAATAGACCGGAACAGGCGTCGATGGATTATTGGCCCGGTTGAATATCAAATCCAATAGTCAGCATTTGTCCAAGCATTGGTGTTGTTATTTTTAAAATAAAAGAAGAAAAGATTCCTGAAAAAACAAATGAATTTCTAAACCATGTGTGCAGTAACAGCCTGTCAACGCTGACGGATGGATCTTGAAAACTCCTTTAATAAAACATGTATAAATGTAACACACAAACGCATTTCAACAAAGCTTTGTGTTGGAGTCATTTGAAAATTTGACACCAAAATTTTGCTGCAAATATAAATCCAATCCAAATATCTGCTATCCGTCTCCTAAATGAGTAATAGTTGTTATCAACTTTTAGAAAATCAAATGGCCGCTTGTCTGGCATATCAGTCTCCATAAAAATGTCCCTTTACTTTGTGTTAAGATTAAACAATGAAAATACCAAATTGTGAGCTTTTGAGGTACCAAAAGACTGATTGTGTCACCTTAACAAAGAGGTCAGTTGTTCTGCTCATTCCAGTCTTAATGCTAAGTTAATGCTAATGCTAAGCTTCATGTTTAATGTAATGAAATTAGAGGGATACTGATGGAAAAGGAAAGGAATCAGCATATTCTCCAAAATGCTGAACTGTATCTATAAACGTAGAATCACAGTGTGCACATTTCAGCTTGTGCATACCATCACATCACAAGACACAAAGGGAAAGATGTAATTCACTGAAATATCCAGTTGGAAGAATGGCTGCTTGTTTGCCTTTGTTTACATGGGGACAAAGAAACTTTTCTTCATATTTGGGTCATTATTTTCTGGTCGGCTGTCTGTCTCTGTATCCTCGGACATTCATGCACTTCCCCTCAGACTGGATTTCCTTTGCAGATTGAGCAAACTTGGCATCTCGTCTTCAGACAGTCTAACCGACTCAGCTGTTCCACTCTTCTTCCTTCCTCTTCTCCGCTCAGTGAGTCTATAAGCCGTCCGGTTATCCCAGTTCACTTTCGCATTCGGCTCCCTTCCCGGTCGCTCGGGGCTCCTCGGATCTGTCGGCTTGTTTCACTCAGCTCTGACTTTCCACATCTCCTGTTCCTGCTTCCCTTTGGATGTCTGTCCTTCTCTTCCTCTCTATTGTTTTCTTCTCTCTCTCTCTGTCTCTGCGTCTTCAGGGCAGAAGTGTCTGCGCCACTGTACCAGAGTGTTGGACACTCAGGTGCTGATCAGTCCGTCTCAGGAACAGGTTCATTCAGAGGTAAAGGGGATAAAAGACGTGTAAAGGGGTTACAGTGAGGCAGTGGTGTGATTGTTTGAGTTTTGTTTTATCTTTCAGAAAGTGTTTAGTGATAAAAAAATCAACTAAATTTCAGGTTTTGTTCTAAAACTGAGCTGGAAATGTTATTTAAGAATATTTTAAAGCAGTTTGAACAGGGATTTGACAGACTAACATGATTTTCACATGGCTGCAGATAATGTTATTTAAAAAAATGAAGTGTTTTCATGTGATTCATATGAAGTCTGCAATTTATGTTCCTCACAAAATAGTGAAACTTACCCATCACAATTTTCCATAATGTCTTCAAAGGACTTGTTTTGTCCAAACAAAAGGCCAAAACTGTAAGATAATGAATTCACAATTACATAAAACAGCCCAGCTCGATGGTTTTTGGTTCTAAAAATGTTGAGAAACTTCTGCACAGCTCTAGTTATGTTTTCACTGTGAAGTTTCGTTTTTGTTCTAAAAGTGTTGAGAAACTTCTGCAAAGTTCCAACAATGGTTTCATTTTTGTTGAAGTTTCGCTTTTTGTTCCCATGATGTTCTTCTTAAAGGGAATGTTCTTCAAACATTTTTTGAATGTAGCATTGAGAAAGCCCTTCCTTTGTCCTCGTGTAACATTTTGGGAACATTTTATTGAAGAACTTCCTCAACCTCCCCAAAACATCCAGAGAACATTGCAGGCAAAATGTTCTATATTTGTTAATATGTTACATTACAGGAGCGTTTTCTTAAACACATTCTGTCATCTGATGCCTTTAGAGGATTTAGAAAACATTTTTTGAATGTTTTTTTTTTTCTTATCATGTAACATAATCTGACAACATTCTCCAAACATTCTCTAAAACATGTTATTTAACTTTTAAGCTCACAGGAACATTACTTCAAATGATAAATATCCTTAATACGTTCCTGGAACATTAGATCAAAACATTTTTTACAAACATTATTAGAACTCACAGGTAATGTTTGCCAATGTTGTGGAAACATTCCCTGTCTTTTTTTTTTTACTCTTTAATGAGTCCTGCCTTACTCCTACATTTTTCTCTCTTCAGTGATATTTATTTAATTCTTCTGTACTGCTCGTCCGTTAACGACTGATTTTTTTCCCGCCCTGGTCAGGTGTTCGCTCTGCTGTCCAGGGAATCGGCTCACAAGCTGTTGATCTTGGCGGGTCTGAGTGAAGAAGAAAGTGGAGACCTGCTCTTTCACAAAGGACTGTTTTCACCACACCAGCTCAAACAAATCATTACAGAGCAGGTATGATGTCTCCCTCTGGTTTTTATCGCCTTGTCTGTGTTTGTATGGAGTATTAAATCACTTATGAAGGAATGCTCAAACTTAAAGATGTGGATCTGAATGCACAAACTTAAGCTAAGAAGAAGAGAAGAACACCTGCGTAGCTGAATGACCTGAATATAGAACCAGTACCACGACAGAACTGTGTTTCAGCACAATCACAGCTATAAATCTCAGTTTTCAAGCTGACAGAACCAACGTTGCAGGAATAAAAACTCTAATATGAACACCCAGATTTAGAGCAGTGATTGATCTTTACTTTTTTCTCTAGATTTTTTTTGATTATTTTCTTGATTATTTGTTTGGTTTAAAGTGTAAAAATTTCCCAATTTAGGGGTCCGTTAGCTCGCTTTGGTTGACTTACTTCACAAAACCCCAAATCTCTTCAATTTATTAATATATAAAATAGAGAAAAACACCAAATCCTCACAATTGTGAAGCAAGAACCAATAAATATTCGGTAGTTTGTCTTGAAAATGTACTGTTTGCAGTTAGCTGGTTCTTTTTCCAATGCCCTACTTTTTTACATAAACATAACATTTGTACCATTTTTAGTAAGGATTCCTTAATTCCGGCTACCAAAGAGCTGACGGGACATTTCAACAATAGTTTTCACTTCCTTGTTGATGAAAAATAAAGTTGCAAATGTTTGACTTTCCTGTAAAGATTGCGAAACATTTTTTCTTTTAAATTAACAACAACAAACCCCCCCCCCTACAAATATATGCTGAGAAACTTCTCTTTCTTCAGTTTCTAGATCAAGAAAGCTCTGCCTCCTCCAAGATCAACCTGACCCTCAGCTGCCCGAACATTGGCCAGTGGAGGAAGACTCTCTTGGGGAACCAGCCCCTGCAGGGTCCCTTAACTCTCCACATTAATCCCCCAGAGGTGCTGCCTGCCATGGAGGCTCTGGGGGAATTCACGTCTCTCATCTCCGGCACCGTTTGCCCTCCTTCCCCCTTTGACCTCCTGCCACCTCCGACCACCGTGGGTTTCCTAAAGCTGTCCCGGCCCTGCTGCTACGTGTTCCCTGCCGGCCGTGGCGACTGTGCCTTCTTTGCCGTCAACGGGTTCACGGTGCTGGTGGACGGAGGCTCAGACTCTCAGGCCTGTTTCTGGAAGCTGGTCCGCCACCTCGACCGAGTTGATGCCGTTTTATTGACACACGTCGGGACGGAGAACCTCCCCGGTGTCGTCTCTTTCCTGGAGAGGAAGGTGGCCGAGGTGGAGCTGAGCACTGATGTCAAAGGTGAGATAATAACTTTATTTCAGGCAATAACGAAAAAAATGATCCCTATTGGCTTGTTCTGGGTTTCTGTCTTTACACTCTTTTCTCTGTGCAGATGATTTATCCAAGAGGCTCATCTCTCCAGAGCTTGGAGTTGTGTTCTTTAACGCCCCCAGCAGGTTGCAGATGGAACAACAGCTTTGTGAGTGTTGCGTTAAAATCTGCACTCATATAACACAAAAGATTTACAGCAATGAACAAAAGTTTGCATAAAGACCATGTAGATCATGGCTGTCTTGGATCTACAGGGACTCCTACAACTCTTCATTTCCTATGATGGCATCCCTGACACATTTGTCATAAAAAGAAAGAAAGAAAGAAAGAAAGAAAGAAAGAAAGAAAGAGCGAAAGAACGAAAGAAAGAAAGAAAGAAAGAAAGAAAGAAAGAAAGAAAGAATGTATTTTTGATTATAGATTGATTATAGGACTTCTGGAAATATAACAAAACTTGAATTTTTGAGTTTTGGTGAATT